ATTTTTTGCACTCTATTCAGTTGCTTGGTTTCTGTGATGCTAATGCTGAGGCAGCGATGATTGTAGGAGGTTACTTGATTTGAGAATGAAAAGGTGATGGTTTTGATGATAAGGGCTAGGAAGGAGGGTTTGATGTTGAAGGATGGGCCTTAGCTTCCTTGACCAGGAGTGTCCTATTTTGTGAACCAAGAATCTAAGTTGGTTTCTGGTGGAAGCACTACTGAAGTTTGCTGTGTGATGGACTGTTTGCTGTCAAAGAAGAAATTTAGACACTTTATCATGTTTTGAAGGATCAAAGCCATGAGTTGGCTCCTTTGTTTCTTGTATTTCTTTGATTCTTGTAATTCTTGGATTTATCAATAAATTTATTCTTAAATTTATCAACCAGATGATGTCTTGATAGTTTTCTTTTTGGGTTTGCACATGTACTCTATTGAATTCACAAAAAATTATAGTTGTTCAGTTGACATGAATGACCAATTTTAAATAGTTTTTTATATTGAATTTTTTTTGTGAACTTATTTTTGAAGAAATTTGTTTTCTAATTTTTTAAAATTTATAGGGGTTTAATTTTTTTCAATGGATTCTCATTTTTTCTAATTATAAATTTTTTTATACAACTTTGAAGGCAATCGCAATCATAAAAAAAAAAAAAAAAGTTGTCATTAATTATTTTTAGTTATTATGGATACTTTGGTTAAAGTTGATTCCATTCCAATGAAAATTTTTTTTTATCCAAACATAAGAATGGAATGAACATTACATTCCAGCACTTAATCCTAAACAGTTGCCAAACATTGGAATGGTAATGCGTATTCCATTTCATTCCTAAATTCATTCCATTCTCAAACATATTTCATTCCTACTGAAAAGCATTACTACGTACCAAACACAGCGTTAGGCTACTAGTGGCGAGTATTTATGTATGTGTTCCTTCAAATTTATTAGTTGGCGTGCTGCTGGTCAGATTATAGTTTTTACATGACAAGTTTGAAGTTTATTTGCGCTTGGCTATTGGTCCTACACATACATTTTTCATAACATAGGCACTTGTTGCCTAATTTAATTAAGGGTATAACCTTATAAGATTAAATTGAAGTATCTCTTGCTGAACCCAAAGAAAAACCAATCGTCACTTTTGTTATGAGGCTAGTCACACCAAACTCAAACTTATTCAAGTTTCCTTACTGTTGGTCACAAATGATTTCTCCTACGATCGATGGGTTCAATCCTTCCACAAAGTGATCTCAGGCAATTACTTGATGTTGGGTTCAATTGTCTTATTTCAAGACTTTCTTTGATGATCACAATCGATAGATTCTAAGAAAGTAAGGAAAAATTTTTGTTAATCTTGAAAGTTTTCTGAAATACAATAGACCGATGGACCAGTCTCTAGAACTAATTCTACGTCTAAAACTAACCTAAAACTACTCCTAAAAATGAATAAGTCATGGGTCTCTGATGGGTTTGATCGTGTGTTTTTCTTGAAATTAATGTCTCTTTTAAAGGCACTTCTTAATCGATAGTTATACTGACTTTTTCAAGCAGTCCCCCCAGTTTCTTTTTTATTTTAACTATTACTTTTCGAATTTCTAGAGCTTATTAAGTATTGATAACTATTATTTTTTCAAATTCGAACATAACCGTTTCATTCCTTCTATCACAAGGATTATAACTGCTTTCAAATTTGAACAGGTCACATCGATCGACTATACATCCATTTTTTGATTAAGTGAATGCAACATGTCAATTCTTCTTGGATGACTTGTTCATTGGACAGGTATCATTCATCGACTATTCACAAAAAATATAGAATTTGATCCAAGCAATGCCCCCTCATTTATTTGGGTTAATTAATAACCTAAATAAATGAACTTAGGCGAAAAACAGAACATACGCAACTATTCTTTTCTAAACGCTATATAAACGTCTTGGTTTTACTTTATTTTACATCTCTTTCTGCTTCCTTTTGTCTTCTTTAGTGCTTCCTTTCATTTTCTCTCTTTTGAACCTTTAAATGGTGCCTAGAAAGCAAGTGATTCCACAAACCGTTTCTTCTTTGACTTTGGATATTCCCTTTTCTCCACGGTTTCTATCTGACGTTAAGAATGTTATCTAGTCTTCTACAGATGAGAGGGTTTTGATTCCCAAACCGAGTTCAAGTTCAAGCATTGCTCAAGGCCCCTCTTTCAAGTCATATGTCTCTAAAGGGTTTATAGACTTATATGCTATCTTCAAAAGGGAAACCTAAATGCTTAATCAATCCCAACTTCAATGGAAATTTTGGGACATAGGTAGCAACCCCTTGAGTTCTTGGATCAATCTAAACCAAAAATGGGTTGATTGGGTAAAGTATATGGAAAAAAACTTTGCTCCCCAATGGAGGCGTCAGAGGATATATGAATTAATCAAGCTCTCAACCTATTCACTCTCTATGCATCGGTGGTTGATTGGTGCAACTATGTGTTTCTGGTCCCAATCTTACAATGTTGTGCTTCTTCCCATTGGTATGATGCCCCCATCGATTCTAGACGTCTTGCATTTAACTGGGCTTTCATTGATAGGCACCAAAATTCATGTCTGATCAAGTTTTGCCCAGTTTCCCCTCTAGCTTAGGTTATTCTGAGCTCATCAATGGCTTCTTCAAACCACATTCTAAATCCCCTTCTTTTGAAGAACATGTCACATTTCTTCTCCACTGGCTCTAGCCTTTTGTTTTAAGTGTTACTGGCTTTAAGTAACCAATGAATACATTAATATGGTCACATCACATGTATGGTCAATAAGCAAAAGACTAGTCTTAGCTCCCTTTGTCTTAGGGGATATATAAAGAGGCCTGTTTAATATGGTTGAAAAGAGGATTAACACCAATTGTGAAGATCCTTTCTTGCTATTCCAAGCATGGCTTTATGCCTACTTCCCTGAATTCAGGTTCACTTAGAACCTTTTTAGTCCTAAATTTGAACCTCTTAATTATGTCCAGCTTTTCTTATCGATTCCTTGTTCTTCTCATAAGAAATTGGAAACTTATTTCCTTATTTTATGTTGTGTTGACTCCAAAAGGAATCCCTCCTTATTCTTACATTGCTCCAAATGTTTGTATGCCTTATTTGTTATTGAACCATACTTTGGTGACCTTGACACAATGTTTATAGAACATATTGCTTTTCAACAAACTTTCTGGGGTAGTGTCCTTCTACCCTGTTTCCTTCATATAGGTGGTTCAACATCCACCTTCAAATTCTCAAATTGCAGATTGGAGATCTATTCTCCTAGTCAAATGGCCAAGTAATTTGGCCTCACCTAGAAATTCCATGTACCTTACATTCATCTTTCCATTGATGAGACTGCAGGACGGAGGCTCAAGATCAGGGATCCTTCTCTACTTCATTAAATTTCTCAAGCTTATGAGAAATCTTTGAAAAGCCTTTTGCTTTCAATATTTTGGTAGCAACCCAAACACTTTTTCCTTTTTTAATGAATGGTGACAAATCAGCTTAGCATTGATTTTCACTAAACAACCACAAGCATATGCTTCAAGGCTATGCTTTTGCCAATCTTTTGCCTTTAACTTTTTGGCCTTAAACCTCTGTATTTCTTGTATTTGTGTCTGACTCCTTTATTATCTTTCAGTGAAACTTCAAAATCTAGGTCAAGCCAAACCATCTAATGTTGGCTTTCAGGCATCTCAAGCTGTTGACGAGGACAATTATTTAGTAACTTTTTCTCCAAAGAAGAACAAAGTAGAAAGATTGCCTCCAACTTCTAAACACATGCAGCAGTCTCTTAGTGCATTTCATGTGGCCAAAGATAGTGAAAAATATAAAGAAACTAAGAAAAAATATGATTTTGATACCTTTAAGGAAAGGCTGAGTGAGGAGATAGCCTTGAAGCAGTCCTCCCATTTAGGTTATTGTTCTTCATCAATTGCCTACTCTTGATGTTCCTTAGGTTAAGGATATCGATGCTGCCCACTTGAACCTTGATGGCCAAGTTGATCCCATGAAACAATCTCTCCCTTCGACTTTTATTAATGAAGTTTGTGTCTGAGCATTCCATTGTTTTGGCTTGCTATTAACTTTTCCTTCCCTTTTATCAGTCGACCTTGATCCTGCCTTCCACACTGTCATCCTTGATTATGAGATGGATGCTGCTTATCAAATGGCAGAAGACTTTGTGAAAGCAATCTATTATGTGTCCCTTTCTAGTGTATCCATGCCCCTCCATTGAAGATTCCTTGAAACAAGACTTTCAGCAATTATTTGAAATGCTCAATTGGCCCTTTGAGAATCTTATCAGAGATAAACCAAAGGAACTTGTTTCTTGTAAGACTCGAAGTTCAAGCAAGAGCACATTGGTTTGGACAAAGAAGAAAATGACCTCCAAGCTAGACTTTTGGCAATTGGGGAGGCAAAAACAAGGATTAATATCAAAGACTTGCTAGCCTAGGGCAATGAAAGTGGAGGTCAATTAATGGCTAGCACAAGGCTTTACTTTCCTAAGCCTTTGTAGCTTTTCCTTTTTCTTATACATATATTGGCAAATTCCATGTGGCATTTTGTTTCCTATAAATACTTCATTTTTATAATGAAAGTTTATTTTACTTCTATTTAGTTCTTATTGATGAGAGTATAATATTGCATATTATAGGCCTCATAATCATTCATCTTAGTTATGCTTGTCACTCAATTCCTTTATTTTAGTTTAGTTTTGTATTTTATAAAGAATATTCATGTTAATGGTACTAGAAGTAGGGATATACCTAAATTAACATTGAACGAAATAATAAGAAAAAATATGAAAATATTTAACTTAAATGTGCTTATAGCGTATGATCGAAATGAATGGTGAAGATGGACTCATATAGCCGACCCCAAATGATTGGGACATAAGACTTAGTTTGGTTTGATATTCGTCTTTGTACGTAAACTAATGTAAGAACAAGATTTTGCACACTTTTAATGTTTTGGAATGGTTGGAGATGAGTTGGATATGTTGGGAGCCGTAGAGTAAAAATTCAAGAAAACACAAGTTCTACTAGTATGTGGTACATGTTCTACAGGTCGGAAATGTCCTAATACTTTATCAGAGAAGTCTTACCGGTAGATGGAGGATATTCTACTAGTAGGAAAAGCCACAGAAGTTTCAAAGATTTTGTCAGACAAAGTTTTATAGGTAGGTTTCAATGTTCTATTAGTAGGTCGACATTAGATTTTGACAAGGACTCTTTCTCCCAGCCGTTGACTTGCTGAATATTCAAAGATATCTTCCAAGACCTTATTTGGAGGAAAAAGAGACAAATTAGGAAAGAGATTTTTGGCAAAATCTTAGAGATATTTTTGGAGATCTTTTAGGAATAAGAGATATACATAAAAGAAAATATGATCTCTACAAAATTAGTTGTATCTCTATCTCTCTACCCTTTTCCTATAAATACCAACCCTTGGGGGCTTTAGAGACCACACCTTCTTCCTCCTCCAAAGGAGGCTACTCCTCCTCCTCCTTCATTGTTCTTAGTCTAGTTTAATTTTGTAAGCAAAGTTTTTCTTTATTTTTAGAATGTTATTTCTTTTATTGTAATTGATTTCCATTCTTTGTTTTAAATAAAAATTTCTTCATTCAAGTTTGTTTTCAATTCAAGTTTTATTTATTTTCTTTTATTTACATGCCTTCTTTAATTACTTCAATTTACTTTATGTTTGAGTAGTTTAATCCTAGATAATTATAGGAGGGATTTACAACCCATGAACTAAGATTTATGCTCTAACCTAATGTTTTAATATTTATGTGATTGTTTGAATAGGTTATATTTTCATAAACCTAATTGGTTTGCATACTTCCCAATTATTTGTATGCCCTGAGGCTTGATATAAATAATTGTGGTATTTTCTACGACCTTTAGAGTACCAATTCTTCTATCATAAACCATTTTTCAATTGCTATATTAGTTCTTCTCAAGTTTTTAGTTAAAAATCATCCATTTGTAGTAGTTGGAATATAAAAGCAGATGAGTTATAGATTTAGAGTAGAAATTCTTGCTCATGTGTGGGATAAAATTTCAAAAATTATCTGGTTCTTTCTTTTATTGAATTTATCTTTAATTTTACTTAGCTAATTGCTATAATTCTTAACCTTCAAAGATCTTTTTATTTTTATTTTTGTTTTTATTTTATCACCATTCAAATTTGTCTTTTGCATTCCCTAAGGAGACGACCTTGGTAATCAACCGAGTTACTAAACGATACATTCTTGCACTTGAGAAACCATATATATTCTACCCACTTTTGAGGTCAAGCATTTTTGGCATGGTTGCCGGGGAAAGCAAGTGTACAATTTGGAAGGTGATTCGGATTAACGACAGGTAAGTCTTGTGATTTTCATCACAAGCTTAGGTATGTTTTTCTGTTTCTATTTTTTTTTATTTAAATGGTGTCATATACTTCATATATGAAGTACATTTGGTGCCTCCAAATCCTGAAGAGGGTCATTTCTCAACCCGTTGATCACCCATCAACCTGTGGAAGTATCCATGACTGTCGCATATCCCGACACCATGTCATCATATCTACTTCTCCGAGATCGTAACTAAAACAGAGTTTGGTTAGAGTCTCCCTTGTACTGGAGTGTTGCCAAGCGCAAAACCTGTGTACATATCAACCACTTGACTATTCTGAGGTCCATCCCCATTAATTAGAATTTAATGTTTGACCAATTTCATCATCCCAACAAGAGAGCTCAAAATCTGAAGGTTTGACAGGGTTTGTATTTAAATTTTTGAAAATTTTGGAAAAGGTACTGGTACCGCTTACACGTGGTACCGGTACCTGAGCCTTTTGTCTGTTAGGTCCTTTTCATTTTGCCAAGTACCAGTACATAACCACTTAGATACTGATACCTAAACCCACTGTTTTGTAAGACCCTGTACTAAAATTAAATAAGAATACTAATATCTTAATAGTTTTCCAAATATGAATAAAATGAGGATAAAAACTTAGAATCATTGTTGAAATATTAATCATGAAGTTTGAGTTTCGAACGGATTGACTTTTGGGTCAAACTTAATTTTTTTTTTTTTTTGGATGTGTTTAAGATTGATAAGGGTAACTAAATAAATATATTAATTTTTTTTTTATCAAAATAACATTACCATTGAATTTGGGAGGTCGGAAAACATTGGGAGAGGTAATATGGGATGTATTAGAAGTTAGAAAGTATTTTAGAAGTAAAACCAAATTGGAGTGAAATTAGGTAAAAAGGGGTGATGGACACTGCTTAGTATTTTGATCATAACTTTATATTTTGATGTCATATTGATCTGAAATTTTGACAGGAAATATTAGACATCTAGGGCTACAAAAGTGTATTTCATGAAACATTTCCAATTCGACCTCTAAATGGGTAAAAACTGACCTGGAAGTCGCACCAAAAATCTGTGAACAGTACGAAGGAAACCCAATTTTTTCTGAACAGAAAATATCGGGTTTTGCTCGATTTTCTTGCCCTATAAAAACCTAATGACGTCCCTTTAGCATTCATTTCACCCCTCTAAACCCTAGGAACCATTTTAGAGGAAGAGAGGAAGATAGATATGCCAATCAAGAGGGATTTATACCTTGTAGAAATCAAAACTTCAAATTCTTCAAGAATACATTCTCCTCCTATTTTCTTCCATTCTTGCTACCTTCTCACCCAAATCTTTTGAAACCCTAGGAGGAGAAGATTAAGAGGAAAAGAAAGGAGATCAAGAAGGTCTTGAAGCTTGGGTCTTAGCTTGGAATCTTGATTTAAGGTAGGGGATTTTCTCTCAATCTCTCACATTGAGGCTAGATATATATATAGATATATATATGTATATAGATATATGTTTCTTCACTCTCCTTCTCATATATATAATATGAAATACATGATTCTTGTTCTATTTGTAATAAATGTCATGTTTTGAACAATATGAAGGGTGGGTAACCACCAAAGCTCTATTGATTTTTTTTTTATCTTCAAAGCCCTAGTTTTCAAGAAAAGGGAATTTTCTCCTAATTTCTTCTTTGTCTTTGATTTTAAAACTTTAGTGTTGAATATTGTATAACACAATGATATAGATTACGATCTCTTGCATATTTTCTTGGATTATTCGATTATATGACAAATGTGAAAACAAAATTGGAGATTTTACTATATTTGGGAAATTGTTGTGAATTGTGAATATTCTTGATTTCCTCATTGTATGGTTGTTGTGATGGACTTGGATTACCTTCGAGAGATGCCGTAGAGTGTTAGAGGTTAGTCTATCCCAATGGGGGGTGAGATGGTTGCCTAATGCTCGTAGTGGATCGTTGTTGTGCTCGCGATCACTATTGTTCACATATACACCGAGGAAAAGGGTTAGTATACTAGACACCTTGGGAGGATTTCGTCAATGCCATAGGAGACGGTACACGCCCTTCCTAAAGAGATTTGTGATTGTTGGTTGGAATTGGTGGACTAGGCATGATCGTTAGGTAGATTCACGAGAAGCAATCAACATACATGGTACGGGGATGAACCAAAAATACATGGAATCGAGAGTTGGGTCGTTCTTGCCGACGCATTGGTATGGGACAATGCTTAGGGAGAAGCCCTTCTTAAATAGCTTAAATTAGAATTTTGTTTATCGATGCTAAACTCACTTTATTCTTTTAACTGATTATTGCTATTGTTTAAACTTGAGATCTCTTTTAAAATGTCACTGTTTTCATTCCAAACCTATATATATGTTAGTTGTGAAATGAGACCGACCGTTTGCTATGTTTTTCAAACCTTGTTTGAGTTGAGAGGATTTTGCTACAGAGCTTCGTGCTCACCCCCTACAAATAAAAATTTTCAGATTTCACACTTGAGGAGGAGTTAGGAGCCGAGGAGCCCCCCCATTGGAAGACTCCGCTTGACGGGGATGTGGATCCCGAGGTGGACGCTTAGAGCGACACTTTTATTTTGTTCTAGACTAGATTATGCTTAGAATATCCTTTTGAACTCTAGTTCATTTCTGTTATTTCCGCTGCGTTATATTATTACATTTTGGAGATGTAAAGGCCAAGATTAGACCTATTAATTTGGGATGATAGTGTGGATATGACATATGATGAATGCAAGTTTATTTTATGATGGAAAAATGGACCCGGTGTGGTCAATAGTTATGCATATGTGGACCCGGTGTGGTCAATTGTAATATAATTGTACAGGTTGTGTTTTGGGTAGAGTTCCCCGTACAAAGGAGACTCTGCCCAAATTTTGTTAAAATATGAATGGTTGATGAATGAAACTTTCGTCGTGATGAATTTTACTTAATGCTCTCATACGGTAAATGGTTTTTAGAATGTAATGTCACCCACGGGGTTTTTGGGGTGTTACATGTTTATTAGGTATCGATACCTACATGTTATGGTATTGGTACCTGAGCCCACTTACCATTGAAGTACCTGTACCTGAAGCTTTGGTATCAGTACCTGAACCCACTGGAATCCAGGTATTGGTACTCGTAGGTCTACGTACCAGTACATGGGCCACCCAACAGCGTGGTACCAGTACTTATCACCTAGGTACCGATACCTGAGCCCAAATTTTCCCCAAATCCTTCCAATCATCAACCATTGCTCATCCAAATCCATTAATACTCATTCATACATTTATACACATAATTTATAGTCCATGAGAGTTCATTAAAAAACTCTTTACACAATTTCGCAAGTTCAAAATAAATTACATAATTGTTTTACAAAATGTAATTCAAGCCACATCTCAGCTTCTTCATCAACAAAGGCCCAAGTGAGGGCCGTCCACCGGTGTTTATCCTGCACCTGAAATGTTGTTATCATAAAGGGTAAGCTATGCTCAATAAGATATTTTCCTAAAGAGGCTACTTCCTAACCCAGATGCATATGAAATGTTCACATACCATTTAGCAATCAATCAAACATCCATTCAAGAATATGCAATTCATAATGGATTTCAAAATTTCAAGCCATGTCATGAGATGGTACTCACACATGTAATGCAATCCGAGCCCTCCACCAGCTCCCATATCACATGCAATGTCATGCGTTTGCATCCGGACATTCCAAGCCTCTGTCATTGATGTTGAATATCCAATGACCAATTTATGAATTTCGAGTCTTAGTTGGGTGGGTATTTTATGGACTTCCACCAAGGGACTACCATCCCACATGGCATTTCAAGGCATCTCACCCTAGGCTCCGCATATGCCTACACACTTTTCAAAATTTCACCATAAGACAAGTGTGTGAACCAAGTAACTGAGCCTTGCACTCGAGGGAGGATCTATTCCTTCTTGCTACACTCGACCCTTGTTTTTAATCCAACCCATGCAACTTAGTCGAACATAGGTCCAACTTTCTCGAGCCCATGTATCAACCCACCAAGGATGGTATTTGATCAAATCATGCACAAACACCTACATTCATGTCACACACCCATGAATGTGATATTCTTCGTGTATATACAAATGTAATGTATAATTGAAATTTTCATATCATGTGTCAATATTTCATGAGCACATTATGAACAATTTTTCATCTCAATTAACATTTCCCAATTATCAACTATATTATAAGCATATAATGACAATTTACAACATTACCAAACATGTTATCTCATTCTCATTCAAATAACATACTTAAATCATTCCTAGGCATTTTATCAAACACCTACATGACACATAATTTATGTAAACACATAGCATGCCCAATTTAACACATTACTTCATGAAATTAAAAATAAGCAACTTCAATAAACCCAATTCATGCTAGAATTGATTTTATCCATTCTTATACCATTTCCTATACTCCTAGTTACACTAGGAGTATATTTAGACAAGAGATTTCATCTCTAATCATAATACTCATTTCATATACAACCCTAGGTTAAAAATAAACCTAGTTAGGAAAGGAACCCTATCTCTTTAAACGTAATAAATGTAGCAGAAACTCCAAGAAAACCCAACTCAAGCCTCAAGATTTTGATCCCAACAATCCCATTCTTGAGACGTTGGCGAAAATTGAGATCTTTAGTACATACTCGTAGCTATCATCGTTGTGTAGAAAAAATTTCGTTCTTGGCCCGAAGGAATGTGAAGGATGGATCGCCCTAGATTGCAAGAAGAAGCTTGGAGATTTTTAATTTTTATCCCTCTTCTCTCGCTCTCTCTATTCGGAAATGGCTGTGTAAATGGGGAGAAAATCTGACTTTTCTCCCCTATTTATACCCCCATTTGCTTGGCCTCATTTAGCCACACGTACTATCTTTTTTGATCCGATTCTATCTCTAATCAATTAGTTCTCGTCCTATTTTAATTAAAATATATGTTATTTGAACTAAATTTAAATTATTCATCGTGTTTCACAATTAAAACCCGATCGCACTTATTTTAGTCATGCGACGCTTGATCGTATCATAAAACGCAAAAAATTCGTTTGTCTCAGAATTTAAAAAAAATTGACTAGGTAACTAAATTTCACAAGAAGAATACAACGGTGAGGTCCATTTTGTCAGCCGAGTTCTAGAAAAATTTGGGTTGTCAACTCATATCGCAACAATTAATTACCATTTTTCCATTTTTAGAAAAATTTAAATTTTCTCGGGTTTTGTAGTATAAATGTGCAATATGTGCTGAGTATGGGTATATCACTGACAGATGCCCTTCAATTCAAACGTTACAAAGGTTTTTGTGGGATGGATCAACTGTATTGTCTAATTCTCAATAACCTTACCCCAACCATTGTTTTGAAACTTTTTACCCCGATTATGATTGGAGGAACGAATATTATCAGTAACCAGTAAATTCCACACGACCATACGAGCCTCTCCAATATCCCTCATTTTATAAACCATTTTATGTTTTAAAAACATAGTTTGAGCCATTAGTGGACTCCTCTTGAAAAAAACTCTTTAGTGCTTGAGGTTGCTTGAGTGGCCCCAAGGTCTCTCTAGTGGCCATTCGCGAATTTGAGTTTTGGTGTTTACCAAGATTGCCCTTACTCCAAGCCTATAAATATGGAGTGCCTTTCCCAAGTTAGGGTAAGATTTTAGCAAGTCTTTTGAAGAGAGCAATCTATCTTAAACCTAAAGAGCTTTCACCACAACCCTAGATCCCTAAACCCAAGGCTACCATCTAGAAATTCTACCCAACCTCATAACTTGGTCTTGAAGATCTTGATTGGTTGAAGACCAAACCCATTAGTGTGCGTATTCCAAGGATAATTGGTGCACCCAAGATTGCTTGAGGCCTAAAGGATCCTCACAGAGGTGAATAAACTAAAGCTACACATAACGTCGAAGACAGAGTTTCGATAGAAAGGCTTATTAAAGGAAGGGAGCATTTAACCATGGTATTAGTTGAGGTATAAGACGCTAGTACTTGAAACCTTATTTTGTGGAAGTTGATTAGGTTTTGGGGAACTGAGAAGCATCTCCAGGATTTTTCTTGATGATGATTTTCGTGTCAACAAATCACTTATGTCTTTTATTTCTGTTCATATACACTGGTGATTTGATGCAAACACATGCACTATGTGTCTAATTGAATGAATGTTTGAATATCATAGTCATCCATAGTTTTGCATTTAAGAGTTTGGGTCATTGGATTAGGTTTCCCATGTGAAATTGAGTGTATAATTGATAAAATTAACAACGTCAATCTTCATGGGTTCACAGGGTCTTGGTGGTTGAAAAGGGGTTGACACCGTTAATTGTTAAATATTTGTGAGAAAAGGTACTTATGGTAGTAGCAGGTTTTAAATTGTGATTAAGCTTAATGTTTAAATACCTATCAACCCCCTTCTCTAAGTGGTGTCATGTGTTTCACATGTATAATCAAGAGGGAAGATCCATAGCGTTTCTCCCTCTTCCAAAACATCAATTGGTATCAGAGCTAGTTGTCATGACTTGCATGTAGACACATATTATAGGCATATTTTTAATTTGCTTACTTCCAAGAGATCTATTGATATCTACTTTGTTGTTCCAGAAAGAGGAACCCGATGTGGGTCTTTCCTCACAATTATGCGCATGGAGCTTGCAACACTTTAAGAATTTCTTATAAAGCTCTTTGTTGTGAAGCTATTCCCAATTTTTTTTTTTTGTGTGGAGCTGATTTTTTCATTATCTCTTCCTATAAGATTTTTAGGAACATGAGAAAGAAATTAAACTTAATTAAACCTATATTTATAAATTTTATTTTTTTGTGATAAAAAATAAAAATATAAAATATGTTTGATAGCCATTTATATTTAAAAAAAGTATACAAAAAAAAAATAAAAAACATGTTTGGTAGTGATGATACCCTGAAGAAATTTCAAGTTTGAGCTCGGCAGTTGAGGTTAAGAAGGGAGCTCAGCCAGGAGACCCTAAGCTCGACAATCCAAGTCTGGGACCTCCTCGATCTACACCCCGACGAAGACGCATGGAAGATAGCTGGAAACCACAACATGTCTCTTCCACAACAAGAAGCGCTAGTCTAGTCGAAAGATCCTTAACCGCCACAACCATTGTCTAGAATCAAGCAAGACGTTGCAAGGGAAAGGCGAATATCTCGCTCCAGATCCCTTTGAATCCGGAACTAAGTTATAAATAATGTCAAAATTACTCACTAGGGGGAGAGGAATCCCTTTGAAACAAAGAGGATTTTGTAACCTACGATCCATCTTGAATAAAAGTATATGAAGCAATAAACTCCTTTAAGAGAGTGGACTAGCCAAGCTTCCGAGCTGGCGAACCACTATAATTCTTCAGTGTAATCTCTCCATTCTCACCCTAAAAGTTGTTGGATTAGAATCATCAGAGCGTTGCAGCTCAGTTTTAATCCCCATTCTTACATAATATGTTCCATCACGTTTAGTGTACCATCAATTTGGCATCGTCTATGGGAACGACTGTTCCTATTACAAATATGCTGATTCTTTCAGTAATTGATGGTCTCTACACGCAATATGTGCAAAAACCAGATGAATCCCCTACGATGCATAACCAATAGGAGGCTATTAGCAAAAGGCAACAAGAAAATCTTCAAGACATCTTTTCCACCGCTGAGACCAATCCTCCCATGACGGATCCCCCTATAAATAACGAATTGGAGGCTCTTCGCCTTGTCAACCAGTGTCTACTCTAGAAGAACGAAGTGCTCTTGAAACTGCCAGGTCCTCAGCAGGCACGACTAGCCCAAGGAGGTCCCCCACAAGCGGAACATCAACACATCGATCCCCTAAGGAAGTTAACGAAGGGGGGGTGAGAATAGCTAGGGCATGGGACAGGGTCCCCATACACCTCCTAGGAATGGTGAAAATGAAGAAGTGCAGAGTCAAAATGATGGGATTGAGAAAAACAATTTTCTCCCTTTCTAGCAGGAAAAGAGAGAGCAATACTGGGAGCAACACTTCAAGGATATCCAACAAGAGCTCAGTCACATGAAGGAAGCCGTAAGGGGTAAGACCCCAGTAACAATGGATGCCCTAATGTAGCAGACTGAATCTCCATTCACCGCTGATTTGCTGCATTTCCCCTTCCCTGCAAAATTTAGAATGCTCTAAATGGATGCTTTTGATGGAACAAAAGATCTCATGGATCATCTCAATACCTACAAGAACCAAATGGAGTGGCATGGGTATCAAGACCCTATACAATGTTGAGCCTTCGCCATCATACTAAAGAGCTAAGCCTTGGCATGGTTCAACAGGCTACCCTTGGCATCAATCTCCTCCTTCAAGGAGCTCTCCATATCTTTCATGTCCCATTTCATAGGAGCTCGGACCTACCAAAAGTCGAGTTACCACTTGTTGAATGTAAAGCAGGGATCCATCAAAAACCTATTATCTTATGTCCAAAGGTTCAACTCAGAATCCCTGAAAATAGATGTTCCAAATGAGAAGTTCGCCATCCCTGCTTTCATCGCTAGGCTAGGAGTACAGTGGAAAGACTTGATGTTCTCTATATCAAAAAACCTACAAGAAAGTATGGCAGAAATGCTAGCCAAGGCAGAAAAGTATATCAGTGGCGAGGAAGCCCTCCTCTCTAAGGTATGGAGCTCATCTTCGTAGAAGGAAAAGGGAAGGAAGAGAAAAAGAGGGATCGAAGCCCCATGAAAAAAAAAGGATGAGATAGGTCTCTAAGAAGAGACAAGGATCGTTCCCCCAAAAGAATGGGAGATGTCAAAGATTGCCTAGATCCTCCATAGCCGAGGTATGCACCTCGACAGGTCACTCCTCTCACAGCAACAATGTCTCAGATCCTGTACGAAGTGCAAAATGAGAAGTTCCTCAAGTGGCCACCCCGAATGAAGGCAGACCCAGCGAAAAGAGATGCAACAAAGTATTGTGAGTATCATGGGGACCACGACCACCTCACAGATGAATGCATCCAATTGAAAAAGAAAATCGAGTTTTTGATTCAGCTGCACCATTTTCTGGCCCTTGATAATCAAAACCGAGCTCCACCACCTTAGCAGCAAGTGCCTGTGCAACATCAATAGCCTCTAGGGGAGATCAGAGTGATATCTAGAGGATATGCAAGAGGTGGGGAATCTAGCTCAGCTAGGAAGGCACACCTATGCAGAATCAGAACTGATGAGAATCTGGAAGTGCTGACCGTGTCCAAGGCACCCTGGCTTAACACGACTATCACTTTCTCAGACTCAGACTTGAAAGGATACCAACATCCCCATGATGACCCCTGGTGGTGAGGGTCATCGTTGCCAACAGAACCATCAATCGAGTCCTGATTGACAACAGGAGCTCTGCTGAGATCATCTTCACGTCTGTAATCGACAAAATGGATATAGGCAGAGAAACACTTGAGACGGTAAGTTCTCATTTGTTAGGATTTTCAAGGGAGATGGTGCTACCTCTAGGATCGATCCAACTAGTGCTCACTGTAGGCAATCCTCCTTGCCAAACCACCACCTCTATGAGATTCCTAGTGGTTGATGCACCTTCAGCAAACAATGTCTTGCTTGAAAGACCTTCCCTCAATGCCATGAGGGTCATCTCTTCTGCCTACCACCTCGTCATGAAGTTTCAAACAAAAAATAGAATCGGAGTAGTCTGAGGAGACCAACGTATAGTGCTAGAGTGCTACATGGCATCTATGAAAAAGAAAGAAGTTGAAAATATCTAGTTGGATGAGCTCGACATGAGACACGAGCTGGAAACTAGGCCAATGCCATTGGAAGATCTGGAGCCTATTTAGCTTGACGAGGAGCCAGAACATCTTGAAACAAAATGATGAGCTCTTCAGCTCATAAATAAATGATGAGCTCTTTAGCTCATAAATAAAAGATGAGCTCTTTTGCTCATAAAACACACGATGAGCTTTTTAGCTCATAAATAAAAGATGAGCTTTTTTGCTCATAAAGCACACGATGAGCTATTTAGCTCATAAATAAAAGATGAGCTCTTCAGCTCATAAACAGACGATGAGTTTTTCAGCTCATAAATAAAAGATGAGCTATTCAGCTTTTAAATAAACGATGAGCTCTTCAGCTCATAAAACAAACGATGAGCTCTTCAGCTCATAAACAAGCAATGAGCTCTTCAACTCATAAAACACACAATGAGCTCTTTAGCTCATAAATAAAAAATGAGTTCTTCAGCTCATAAACAAATGATGAGCTTTTCAGCTTATAAATAGACAATGAGTTCTTCACCTCATAAATAAAAGATGAGCTCTTCATCTCATAAATAAACGATGAGCTCTTCACCTCATGAATAAATGATGAGCTCTAAAGCTTATAAATTACCAATGAGATCCCCAGCTCATGAACAAAAAGATGAACTATTTAGACCATAAACCAACATTAAGCTCTACTGCTCATAAGTTCAAAAGAACTGCCACCGCTAAAGGAAAATTGCAAGAAAATAAGCAAAGCAAAATGACAAATTTTTTCATTCATCAAAGCATGGTGGGGTACACAAAAAAAGGGGGGAAAAGAGGGAAAAGTCCTAATCTTGCCCAAGTCTCTTCTTCTACTTAGCAATCTCTTCCTCTAAGGAAGCATTCAAAGCCCGCAAGCATGCGTTCTCTTCCTTCAGTGCGTCTCGTTCCTCCTCCACCTCAGAGAGCATCTTGGAAAGCTTCATCTTAGTGACAAAAAATAGAAAGTCACCAAAGGAAGAGACAGACGATTGAGAGGAAGAGTCACTCCTCCTGCGCTTCCTTGAAGATGTAGCAACTGCCTCACCTTCTTCCTCCTCCTCCTCTTCATCTAGGAAGAAAGTAAATTCTAGAGCAGCAGGTGCAGCACTGAACAAGAAGAGGTTCTCTAGTGTAACGAGCTCTAAAAAAGGCACAGGATCAACATGGGCTACCTATTCAACCCTCAACAACTTTGTTGGGGTTAAGCTAGGTGCACCTACACAGCAAGAAGCATTATAAGGACCAATCAACATAAATCTAGTAGAGCAGATTTCTAAACCACAACCTATGTAAGAAAAATGCTCCCAAGAGCGAGGAATCCTAGACTCTGCGTAACGCTACTCAGTGGACCTCCAGGTATTTTTGGAGGCAAAGAAAAAGCATTGGGCCCACCCTTCAGGAGAGAACGGAAGATCAAGGACCAGTGGGGGTATAAAAAAGGCCCTCCACCTAAAGCAGCTGAAGCAGGGGATCTCATCCTCTCCAAGCTCATAGAAATAAAGGAACTCGACAATTGTGGGGAACTCACTATTGCCTTGTAGACACTAGAAGAGAAAAAAACTAATCATAACGCCCCACCCTTGAGGAGAAATGTGAGAAGAGCACAGACCATAATAGGCAAGGATCCACCCAATGGAAGGGTGAATGGGGAGACGGAAGCCCATCTTATAGTCGCCTTCAAAGAAATAAACCTCCCCCCGAAAAAGGAAGTTGCAGGGTTCATCAGGGCTTGGGACTCGCAGAGGCAAGTCTATAGAGGGAAAGAACCGCCTCTTAATCCCATCCAAATCTAAGGATGTTATCACTGATGGAACCAAGTAATTGGAATGCCACCTCCAATCGATCCCAATAGAGGCTCGTTGCTTGAACAAAGAAGAGGGAGAGGCAACCATTGAAAATCAAAAGAAAAATAGGGAACTCAGAGAGAAAGAAATTCTAAAAATGTAATCCCAAGAATGATAGACAAGAAGAAATCCCAAAGCTTGAAGATAATCAAGAAACCCCTAGTCTCATGTGCAATAAAGTTTAAGGAAACTTCAAGAAATCCCAAATTTAAAGGGACAAAAAACGTGGGAAGACGGAAGGATGCCCCCACCCTTTGCGTTTCCATAATCATTGCAGTAGTTATAGATTTGGAAAGTAGGTGGGCATACACAACCATGAAAGAGTCAATGTTCAGTTCTATTGGTTCAGCTCTGTTCGCTCAGCCCTGTGAGCTCAGATTAGTTCAGAAAGACCTCAAAACATAAGCAACACAGTTCTATGCGAGTGTAAGCTCAAGCTAAAAGATCTTTAGCCCAGCCTAAGTAGAACTCAGCCACACAGCCTTCTCAGCATATAAGAACGAGCTCTCCATGGTCAAGACCTCAGCCATCCAATAGCTTTTTAGCTTTTCAGCTCTTTAACAGTTCTTGACAAGTCTACTTCAAGAAGAACTAAGTCATCCTCTAAGTATGGGGGCAAGAGGAGTAAAAGCATAGCAAACAAAAGCATAGCATGGTACAAAAATGATACAACAATTCAAAAAACAATGTATATTTATATTTCCCAAAAGTAGCAAAATGCTAGGAAAAAAAACATCTAAAGTTCCTAAAAAATCACTCACGTGGATGGCCAGATAAAAGCAAACACAACCCCAAAACTAAACTTAATGCAACGGTATGACACAAGAGAAAGGTGGGATGTGAAGAACCAGAAGCTTACCGAAGTAGCACCAAACAGGGCAGTGGAAATAGAAGATCTGAGGGGCATAGTTGCAGCCCTTTGAATGTCAGATTCTAGGATAATGGAGGCAATGGTCTCCACTATGCATTTCCCGTTATTCATAAGGCAACCCTCGCCTTCTACCTTGGGGAGCTTTTCTTTCCCAGTCTTGGAATCCTTGAGAAGTAGCTGAGAGGAACCCTTAGCTAGCCCAGGAAAAGTAGACCCAAGCAGAATGCGGGTGATGGTCTCTAGGGATTTCTTGACTTCTGCTGAGGAGGGGGAGGTCGGGATTGCACCTTGTTCAGAAACCCCCCCAGACGAGAAAAGGGCAGTCCCTCAAGGGAGTAAGGTCTATGTGACCATTGTAAAGCTCGATGGTGGAACAAGGGCCACTTGAGACAAAGGAGGAGAAGCAGGGGGCAGATCTAACCTTGGCACCTTAGTCAAAGGGGTAGCAACACTACATGACCCGACCTCGGCCTTACGCTTGCCTCCACTCTTAGCCTTCTTCATTTGACTAACTTTTGCTCTAAATTCCTTGGTAGATGGCTCCATTGCTGTAGAAATTGAAAACAAAAGACAAACAGATTAGAAAGAAGTAAGGGTGAAATGAGATAAAAGTTAAGGGCAAAAGGAAGAAGTACTACCTGCCCCTTCCTTTACTCCAACTACAGAAAGGGGAACAGGGGTCTCAATCGTCACCTCGGGAAGACTAAGACCTAGCTTGGTGAGCTCAGAATGCTTGATCAAGCTAGAGTATTTCTCTGGACTGCAATCTTTGAGCCCTATCAAAGCAAGTTTGTCCTCAGCTCCCAGCTCAGGGAGAATACTTGAAACGACCCAAAGAAATGAGGTTAACAAACGAAGTAACAAGAGAAGGCAAGATGAGCCTACCAAAAATAAGAACTCACCTAGGTTATCAAGGCCTGCCCAGGAGCGAGGGACAGGAAGGGTGTCAGTGACATCATTTGGGTTAAATTTCCACGCCTTCTCTGACACAAGAAAAAACTGTTTCTTCTAGTTCTTATGAGAGCTAGACAGGTCAATAATCAAGGCTTAGGTATTTACCCGTTTGGAAATATACAAAAAACCATCAGGCTAGAAAAGAACTTCATGAGTAAAGGAACTAAGGGGGTACTGATCTCATTTTTCTTAAAGAAGACAAGAAGGTAGACCAGGATACCCCAAAAATTAGGAGAGATTTGAGCAGGACAGACATTGAAATATTGGAGGACAAACTTGATAAAGGGATGAATAGGGAACCTAAGCCCATTCTCAAGAGAAGCTACGAAGAAGCAAGTCTTCTCAGGGACCTTGGAATCGTACCTAATATCGGTGGAGGGAATCCATTAGTCCATGCCCTCAGGGAAACCAAATCTAGTAGACAAGACTTTCACAAGAGAAGGAGTGACTTCACTATGACCAATGAGGTCGAAGCAACAAGGAGCAGGGCCAGAGTCCTCAGCGCTACCTGACACCATTTTGGCTTTTCCTTTTAGAGACCATTTAGGATTGGAAGGAGACCCTGGTGAAACCTGAAGAACCTCAGCCATTTTTATAGCCTCAACCCTAGGAAAGTTATGTATTGCATCACCAACATCTCCCAACTCATCCTCCTCTACCTCTGGAGACCTATCTCCTATGAAGGAAACCGATGAGGTTGTAACTTCAGAAAAGGAAAACATGACTTGACAAGAGAAAGGAAGTTTGAAGGAGCAATAAAGAGGGGGAACGTTAGTAAAGCACTCTCTAAGAGTCCAGGGGTTGTGACAGCAACGACCAGCGAGGAAGACCCTGGTAGTGGAGTAAAGATCTAGAAAAAGGGGAAAAGAAGACAAGGAGCAACCCCGATTCCCAAAATAGCAAAAGTGACAGGTCTAAAAATGCAACAACCACCTCAAATTCGAGGGATCCAGAACGAGGAAGAGAGTAAGAGCCAAGGAGCGTACCTAATCGAGGGCGAAACGAAAAACCAAAGCTCAAAGCAAAATCAAAAAACAAGCCTCGCAAAACCTTCAAAATCAAATTGAGAAGATTCCCTTCAGCAAAAACCCTAGGTGGACTGAGGAAGCAAGGATAGCCAGGGAAGAAAGGGGGCATAACCTAAAATTGAGAAGACGAATCAGGAAATGAGGTGGTTTCCGTTGCCAAAAATGTAGTTAAAGCTTCAAGAATGTGGGTCTTTCAACTGTGAAACGTGCATGAAAAACGAGGAGAAAATGATTACATAAAACTATCAAAAATACTTCTTCGTGCGCAAATTGAGGTCGCACTATGGAGGGCTACCTTAGTTTAGCCTTAGCTCAACCTCTGTTCAAACCCACTTTGACCAGGAACTGGGAGGCAACTGATGATACCCTAAAAAAATTTCAAGTTTGAGCTTGACATTTGACGTCATGAAGGGAGCTCAGCCAAGAGACCCTAAGCTCGACAATCTAAGTCTGGGACCTCCTAAACCTGTAACCCGAAGAAGACGCATGGAAGACAGCTAAAAACCACAACGCTCATCTTCCACAGTAGGAAGCGCCAGTCTAGGCAAAAGATACTTAACTGCCAAAACCATTGCCTAGAATCAAAGAAGACGTTGCAAAAGAAAGGCAAAGATCTCGCTACAGACCCCTTTGAATCAGGAACTAAGTTATAAATATTGTAAAAAAATCCTCACTGGGGGGAGAGGAATCCCTTCAGAACGAAGAAGATTTTGTAACCTACGATCCATCTTGAATAAAAGTATCTAGAGCAAGAGACTCCTTTAAAAGAGTGGACTAATCAAGCTTCCGAGCTGGCGAACCACTATAATTCTTCAACGTACTCTCTCTTCTCACCCTAAAAGTTGTTGGATTATAATCATCATAGCCTTGTAGCTCAGTTCTAATCCCTATTCATAGATAATCTAGTTTATCACGTTTAGTGTACCATCAAGTAGTATATGTTTTAGGCAGTATTTTATTAGCATTATTTTGGTTAATATTTAATTCCAAATCCCAAATCCCTTAATCCTCTCACACTATCATATATGTCGAATATACATTTATGCAGATTTATCAAATAACATGAAATTTTTGATTAATATATCTATGAATAGATGTATGAAGATATGCAAATCTATGCCATATATACATGTATATATAGATTATATATATATATACACACACACAGAAATACACAGAGCTCTTTGTTACACACAAATATAGACGAAAATACATACACCCATCAACCACACACACATTCACACCCAAATCTAACCAAATATAACGATATATTGATAGATCTAGGTATATGTATATATATATATATATATATATATATATATATATATATACAGATCTACGTACATACTATGTATATAACAAACCCAAACGTAAAATTTTGATTCCATATAGAGGAGATACAAAGACAAAGAGTGAAATTTGTCCTTAAAAATTTGATTCCATCTGAGAGCTACTTCATTGCTCTTTTGTCATTGGCTTCATGAGAGATGAACGTGAGAAAGAAAAGGCAAAAAGGGGGTAAACAATGCTTTTATAGTTGGAATAAAAAAAAACTTTTGTTTTGCTACGAATGAGGTTTGAAGGTTAGACCTCATTAAATGATTCCAAGGGGCGCGCATGTTTCTGTTTTTTCGTGTTTTTAAAAATACCTATTTTGATGTTTTCAAAATTTAGGGTTGTTTACTAAACAAACCTGCCAAAAATAAAATAAAAAACATCCTCTAAACATATTATTATTTTTTTTTGCAAAAAAAGAAAAAAACAAAAAAAAAATACAAATACATGATTACCAAGCGGCACCTAGAATACGTCTTTGGTTCAATAATGTGGGAATCGCAAAAAAAGTTTTACTAATCAAATTTAAAAATTAAAGAACTAATATAGATAAAATATGATTGAAGAGCTATCTTTTTTTTTTTGGGGGGGCTTTTTATATTTTGTACCCTGAAAATTTTTAAAATTTTTTACTTTATACCTGTAAAGATTAATTTTTTTTAATGTAGTCATTCTGTTAACTTCTTTTAGTTTTTCCATCAAAAGTACATTTATTGACACTAATAAAATTTGTAAGAGTATAAAAAAACAATTTTAAAATCTTTCCGGGGTGAAAAGTAAAATTCGGCCTTTTTTTTTTTTTTTTTTGGGAACTGAGATTGAAGAGCCATCTAAATTTAATCAAAATTGACAGTTTATAAGTCCGGACAAAGGAAATCAGGCTAGAGAGAGAGACAGAAAAAAGAGGGGTTATGTTAGATCCAGCGAATGACTTGGTTCCACCACCCTCGTCTCCGACAATCTCTTCCGTCTCTTCCTCCGATCTAGACACTGAGGTATGGCCCTCCAAATTTCACACCATTCTTCGCTTAGATTCACGCAATTCTTGTATATAGTTTTTCCATTTCCTTTGCAGTCGACAGGTTCATTTTTCCATGACCGAAGCACAACACTGGGCACCCTAATGGGAGTCACCTTCCCAGCAATTACATTCCGAGCTCCCTCTCTATCTCAGCACCGCCAACCCACCACCAACACGGCCGTCGAAAATTCAGTCGGCGGCGCTGGGCGGAGAAGCAAGAAATCAAAGAAAATAGCCGCTATGGTGACGGAACAGCGGTGGCGGAGGAGGAGGTGGTGGACTCTGTGCAGCGATTACGGGTCAAAGCCATCGTCTTTAGGCGAGTTTCTAGAGGTGGAACGGAGGTTCGGAGATGGGGCTTTTTTCGGTGCTGCGGCGGAGCTTGAAGGGGTTGATATTCAGCCCGGGAATAAGCGGAGTTTGTTTGCTGATGGACGGGTCCTACCGCCCGTAGATGTTGAGGAAGAAGGGTCATCTACGGCTGCTAGTCTTTGTAGATTTCCGGTTTCTCTTACTGGCATCTGTAGTGGTGGCAGTGGTGGATAGGATTTGATTTGGCCTTTTTATTTTCTTTTCTTTCCTTTCCTTTACTTTTTTTCTTCTGTTTTTTTTGTTTTTTTTTTCGTTTTCATTTATTCTTGTTGTTAAGCTTGTTTAAAGTTTGATTAAATCCAATGATCTCCCCTTAAATAAATTTACAGGCCTTCAGGAGTTAAATTAGACGAGTGGAACAACAAAACCTCATCAAGAATTTCAGGTGTTTAAGTCTTGTGAGGCTCAAGGCTTATGTGATGGAAACAACAAACGAGGGTTCAAGGTGAACCATGGGTTGGGTTAGTCCATATGGATCTAACTTAGTTGGGATGATTAAAAGGTCAATTTGGACTCCACCAAGTTCAACTTGAACCCTTTAACACAACTATCATACACGTCAAAAAATTTTAAAACTAAGTTCATTCGGGTTGAAATTTGAGTTTAATTCTCGGATTTAATTTGTTTTTGATTCTTAGATTACATAACGTGGGTTAAAATTTATGTAAGTTCACTTTTTTTTTTATGTAAGTTCAAATGGGGTTTATCTCATCCGTCGATTTGTTATCTAAAACTAAATAGATAAATTATATCTAGACCCCCTCATGTTTGTCACTTAATTATTTGGAGCCCTCACATTTCAAATATTATTCTTATACCTCTTGACGTTTGTACATGTATAGCACATAATCCTTATCGTTGATATAATATAACCGTTAAAAAATATGATTTCATTTTAATAAAAAATTATAATTTCATATTGCACTTTATTTTGTGGATTTATTATACTCTAAAGTTCAAAATCAAGTTTATTATTTAAATGTCCAATATAATACAAATATTTATATAATGTTCTTTATATCCAATACAATACATTATTCAAACATAATTATTTAAATATCCAATTGAGAGAATATTTTTTGTCATATTAGGATTCTCAAGCGATATAGGTGTGATATTTCAAATGTGAGTAGTTTAAGTGATAAACTGATAAGTATGAGGGGGTCCAGGTGTAGCTTATTTATTTAGTTTTAGACCGTAAACTGACCGTTATTAGCTTAAGATGAGCATTTATATAAATTTCTATCTTAAGGGTATAAATTAAAATTTTTAATCTTTGAAAGTATTAATTGAGATACGAATGATCTTTTAGGGTACAATTTGAAATTAACCTTTTAAATAAGTAAAATCTAATTCCAATCATAAATATGAGCACTAATATTAAATGAGATAAAACTGTCATCATCTTAATTAGGTGAGAATATATTATTACATCATTGCATGATGAGTACGTCCAACTACGTAGGCACCGACACATTTATAAAAGGTCTAATCATCTAATATTTGGATTAAGACTCAACTAGCGTACACAAAAAAAAAAATTAGTATGGTACCTCAAATAGTTGTTTTTATAATATTTATGGGTTATTTTATAATTAAAAAATTTATCATTTTATGAATATTTTTATCATTTTTTTTAGTACAAAAAAATTTATCATTTTTATAAGTAATTTATTATATTTTATGAATATTTTTACTATTATTGTAAGTATTTTTATCACGATTATAATAATTATTTTTCTTTTCACTTTTTTTTATACTACTACAGTAATAAAAATATTCACAAATATAATAAATATTTATAAGGTAATTTTACAAAATCCGTACCATAAACAACTCTTTTGATTAGCGTCCAAATGATAATAGTCAGACTCTTTCTAAAAAAAAATTCATGCTAATGATTCGGGCCAAATGGCGTAATCATCAGTTTGAAACATTTTAAAAGGCCTAGCATTCATCTAAGTGTCAATTCAGGATTACCTAGAAAAGGTGGGAGCATAAAATATAATCTGTGTACTATAGGACATATTTCTTAAAGAAACACAAAACAAGGGAGTTATACTGAAATATGGGAAAAAATTATTTAAAAATTGGATTATTTTGTGTTGAAATTAGTCACATCTATTCTCTTTTGTGAGAGAAGCCTTTGTTTTTTCAATTGGAGCTATTGAAGCTCATTTCAAATTATTCTAAGAAATAATTCTCAATATTCAAGGGAAGAATTACCTATCTCATAAAAAAGAATATTTTTATTTATATTATGTGATCCATTTAATGCCTTTAGTTGTGTGTTGTGTAGAAAAAGCGAACTAACCTACCCTATTGATTATTGAACTACATGCCAAGCAAGATGAATGATCAAAACTGGGAATATTTTCTTCAATCAAAAGTACAGTCACGAATACATCAAAAGAATGTGGAAGAGAGGCCAAAAGAATCATGACTTTATCCTCGTGTCTAAGTTTAACATTGACATTTATTGAGATAATCCATAATATTTGTTCCTTTTTTCATTCATAATTGATTTAATTGTTTTTTTAAGAACAATTTATTTGTGAGCGATTTTGACATATAAATATTTTTTTTTTAATCTTTTTCCATAATGTTAGAGTAGAAGTTCCAATTAAAAAATTATATTTTATCTTCGGTGCAAGACAAACTGATGATGCTCACATCCCTTATATTAAGTTTATCATAGTCTTCATTTGCCCATCGAGATTCCATTTTTTTTGCAATCGTATTGAGTACCGGTAATAATGAACAATGAACAAAGCGCTTTGTTCTTAATTATAACCTTTCCGTGCTAAACTCGGAATCTTTGATACCACTTATTAGGAAATATTCGCAACAATTGGGTTAATACGATGACGAGAAAATAAATAAATCGAATTACTCAAAAAAGGACAGAACCGATAATTATATGGTTTGACAAAATTTTTGTCTATGTCCACAAAGCGTGACCTTTTTCACTATTGACAATAATTAAATACAATGGTATAAACCTCCACACTTGAATTTATAATATCCCAAACTCGAGCTTTTTACACCTTTATACACCCACTCAATCCCCGTAAAGAAGAGGAGAGCCCTTTATTTCAACTCTCACTTTGCTCATTAAATTTGGAGTGAACATTGAATGCCAAAACCTGAAGAGCGCAATGCCTATTTATAGGCATGAGGCTCCATGTCACTTTCATAATAATTGCCAAAATCAAGGTAATGGTATAAGACCAACTGCTAGCTAACAAAACAAAGCGAACAACATAGATACTAAACTTTCTAGTTTGCATAAATCCAGAGCTAAAGAGAAAGTTAACCTCAAGAAAATATGCAAAATCAATCTATTAGATAACACAAAGCACATAAAAATGACATTCTTCAGTAGTTTGTTAAAAGTCAATCAGATCTCTTTTCCCCGGTTTGTTCCACTTGAAGACCCGAAGCTTCGGACGAGACTAAGGGGTTTGAAGGAATTAACCCGACTTACTTGGAAGCAGAGTGGAAAACATTGATGATAGAAAAAAAAAATTCTTTTAAATGATGCCTTTAAGTGCACAATAGATTGCATCCCATGTTTTAGTTTTTTTTTTTGAAATTGTCTCAAAACTGGCAAAAACATGTTACTAATATTCTCTGAAATTTTGAATTTTTGTTCATAGTTTTTGAAAAACTAGATACAAAGTTTTATTGTCCAAACAACTTTTTTTCTGGTTTTAATATTCGAAAACAAAAAAACTACTTTACAGATGCAAATCAAATATGTCCATATTTTTATGGGCACTGAAATAAATCAATTACATAGATAAAGTTCTATTTGAGTTTTTATTTAATGAGCAATAATATGAATGGTGTTTATTTCTGCAGATAAACTTAATATCACATATGAATTATTTTTGTTGTTCATTATCAGGTCATAGAATCAATGGAGAGAGTATGTGTGTGAACTTGGCTCTTGAATGCGCTATGTAAGAATTTTGCCCTCCACATAAAGCTGCTAAGCACTCACAAACCCAGCCACTGGTCATCTGAAGTGAAAGCTCAAGTGGTTTTCTGAAGAAAGTCTAGTAAACTTCGTGGCTTTGTTGAAGGCAATCCATGCTGCAGCAACCACCTCTCCTTTACTAGTACGCATATCAGGAAAAATAGTCAATTTCTGTTTTTCTTTTTTGCACATTTATTATTCTTTTGTACTTGGCATTCTAACCAGTTCCTATGTGATTTTCTTTCTTCTATAATTGTTGCAAGTCAATGGCTAGCTTTATTAGAGATAATGATGGATTTTGGCTTGGGTTGCCCATTCAAAGCCCAAAACACTTGATGGGCCTACTAGTTACATGACAACCTAAACGGCCCATTTGCTGCCCGCCCACCCCGCCATAAAAGTGGGCCACAACCCAAGGAAGGAAGCCCAACGATGCCCAGATCGGTATATGCTTGCTCGGAAGCATCAAGCTTGACGGAGACCAGCCCAGGAACTAGGAGTTAAGTACCCAATAGATGCCAAGTATCTCCAGTCGTGCCACGTGTCCAAGAGACAGGGGGACAACTTTTGAAGCCCCTAACGAACACGCACTCCCTGATAAAGGGAATATTTGTACATATACTGTTTTAAGGATCGTGGGCACAATATGCGTCAGGATGGCAAACACCACTACAGGACAAAGGAAGAAGGGACTATAGAATCAACCAAGAAAAAGAAAGAATCGTAGAAAACCCTGGGTGACCGCATGTATAAATAGAATACAGATGCACTATGTAAAAAGGGAGTAAAAAAAGAAATTTTATTCACAATATACTGTGTATAAAAGCTCTAAGCCAAGAAACCTTCTATAATCTTCTTCTTCAAGCAATATATACCCTAATGAGCAAGAGTCTCCATTACAGTGGATATATCCTTAGTCCTTTGGCTAGGTGAACCACTTTCATCTTGTTTTCGACCCAACATAATCAGCTTACTTCCTTACTAACCCTAATATTCACTGCGCCCCCACTGGGCCTTGCACAATCACTGTTCTACACTTAGGCTTAGTAATTTTGAGCACCATCGGCTTGGCGCTGTATGTGGGAATGACTTTCATCGTTTCCTTCGAGTTCTCTTCATACTTCTATTGGTTTGATGGTTTCAACTCGAAAACTGAGCAAGTCTCACAAAAATCTACTAGAGAGCTTCTATGCCCCAATAGTCCTTGTTGAGAACTCCCCTCTGGCAGCAGACCATCCTCCCCTTAACGAGTTAGAGATATATTGCCAGAACACGATGCAGCTTATGAAGTAGAACCAAGACTTGGTGACGTGGATATAGGCACACCACCTT